TTACAAAATAACGCCCAAAATAAAACAATTTAAATAAATTTGAAAAGAACATGAACAATTCCAGACATAGTATATATATCTTATTAGATAACAAAGGCGAATTATCTCTGAGACAGACATACAGTTTATTAGCATGTATTGACAGTTGTGCGCTTTAAGAGTGTTATTTAAATATTGATTTATGTCAGTACTCGTGGTATAGTGGTATCATGCATAGACTGAAGACTCTACTGAATATGAAGAAAATACGCGCGAGTTCGAACCCTTCAAATGCCACTCGTTTTTGAGAGGATAAAAAAATCGTAAGTAAAAAGTTTAAAGTTATAAAATAAGTTATCTTAAGTTAACGAAGTGGTCAGTGGATTCTTGAAAAATAATCTACTGTAAGAACAATAGACTGACGTCAGAGAAATGGGTTAATAATAAAGTAATATTTTCAGATCACTTCTTTAGTATTCAATGATTCAAGGGTTTTAATAGTACTTAATTTTGATAGGGAATGATTGTATTGACCTATTTCTTCCGTGGTACTGAAATCCCTATCCGGGTATGTTTTCGGTTGATTTCTAATCGGAAAAAGTGGCATCATGTGATAACAATCCTATATAAGTCAGCATGATAGATAATAATTAGTGAATGTGTAAATATACTGTGGTCGTGCTGGTTTTATTTCATGGACTTGTTTATTTATTTTCACACACATTAATTTATGATGCTATTTTATTTGAGAACATGATACTTTACAGAAAGAAATGTATAATTATATAAAAGCAAGAGCCTCATCGAAGAAAGTGACTGAACTTATACATCAAAGCACATTGTTTTGTTAAGAGAAAGGTATTATATTTCTAAAATTTAAATACAGCTGATAGTTGCTTAATATATATAAAGAGGCCTAGCTTGTGTTTTCCGAGAAAAGTATATATTGTGTAAACTTTAAGCAGAGTGCAACTTTTTACATTGAAACACACTGAATCATAAAGTAGATTGACAAATAGTTTTAACACTTTCTACAACACATTCTATATTCATTTTTTGCCGATATTGATGAAATAAGTCACGGTGTCTGCATTTTCTTACTGTCTATTCAATTTAACTATTTTCAAGCTTATATCGTCATACAAATGACACAAATAAAAATTAAAGTTTATTTGCTATGATTGTTCACATCTTTGTCTTTTAGTCTTCGTGGATGGATAACTGTTTCATTGGCAATCATATTATATCTTCCTTTTATATTTTACCAACAAAAATACAATAAGAATAAAAGTCATAAAAATAACTATCATTGAAAGCTCATAAGGATATATTGCAAACCGGTGATTCTCCTAATTTTACCCACTCAAATGGAACACACGAGAAGAAACTGGAAAAAAACAAAAAACAAAGTCAACTGCTTACTGGCTTCCAGGGAATATGAGAACAGTGGGGTTTCGTGGTGCTCAGCCGTTTCTTTTCTTTGTTGAACTTGTTGTCTTTTCGTCGTTTTTCCTTTTTGCCATGGCTTTGTCAGTTTGTTTTCGACTTTAAGTTTCTTTTGTTACCTATTCTGACATCGGACTCGGACTTCTTTTAAACTGAGTTTTACTGTGCGTATTGCTATGTGTTTCTTTATTCTACCTTGGCTAGAGGTATAGGGGGAGAGTTGAGATCTCACAAAACATGTTTAACCCTGCCGCATTTTTGCGCCTGTCCCAAGTCAGTAGCCTCTGGCCTTTGTTAGTCTAGTATGTTTTTTTAATTTCATGTAAATGTTTTTGGAGTTTAGTGTGACGTCCATTTTCACTGAACTAGCACACAATTTTATTAAGGGGCCAGCTGAGGACCACCTCCGGGTGCGGGATTTTCTCGCTGCATTGAAGACCCATTGGTGGCCTTCGGCTGTTGTCTGCTCTTTGGTCGTGTTGTTGTCTCTTTGACATATTCACCATTTCCATTCTCAATTTTATGTAACTTTTTAAAAGGTTTTACCATGAAAATCAATTTATAATAACATTTGAAACCAGGAATCGTTTGACCAAACAAATTGAAGTAGACAACTCGCCAACAGGGCCGAATTTGTGTCCCTAGATGATGTGAGAGACCAATATAACAAGCAATAATGAAATGATGACCAGAATTTCAATATTTAAACAGTGAAAAAATAGATTGGTTTTGATAATAAATAATGAAGATCTCTTTTAGAATCTACTATACTGTATGCAATATCATTTCAAAGAAAAAATAAAGAAGGCCAAAGTAAACTGAAATGTATTACATAGCTACTGTATGGAGTAAAATTGACTTATCTTCCCTTTACACACGTATTCCTCATTATTAACTTAAAGACAACCTAGACTTATAAGTCCATCTTTTTTTAAGTGGCCATAGTAAAAACAAATGTCTTGCTTTAGGAACGGACAAATCATATTTGAAAAAAACTCTTTATTCGACAAAAATATTGTGAACTGTGAAACTGACATGATGTTTGATTTTTTATTTTATTTTACCAAATGTAAGTTATGTCAGATTGACGTTTTTTTCAATTGAGACATTTGCAATCCCATCAGTTCATTTGTATTAACCAAGTTAGTTACATTTACCTTTCCAAAATTGTCCCTTGTTAAATTTTGAAATTATAAAGAAACTAAGGTTTCAACTCCCTCAGGCAAAGTTGACCTTAGATGAATTTGGCTATTTGTTTTAGGTATTTTTGTCATATAGCTCTTCGATTGTTTCGGTACTTATACATGCCTCGGATTTCAAATGTTTGGCTTTGAGCGTTCCTGATGAAGGTAAATCCAGAAAAGCGTTTCGGACGCTTGAAATTATTAAACATGTTGTTTTCTATTTTTTACATCACTGGGTCGATACCTCTGCTGGTGGACTATCAGTCCCCGAGGGTATCATCAGCTCAGTAGTCAGTACTTCGGTACTGACATGATTTATAAATAACCTTTCTAAAATTGTCCCTTGTTAAATTTTGAAATTATAAAGAAACTAAGGTTTCAACTCCCTCAGGCAAAGTTGACCTTAGATGAATAATCTATTTGTTTTAGGTATATTTGTCATATAGCTCTTCAATTGTTTCGGTACTTATACATGCCTCGGATTTCAAATGTTTGGCTTTGAGCGTTCCTGATGAAGGTAAATCCAGAAAAGCGCTTCGGACGCATGAAATTATTAAACGTGTTGTTTTCTATTTTTTAAATGTTCAAAGCTTTTGATTTAAAGTACATTGGGAAATTCCATTATTGTAAGACAAATATTCAACAAATCATGATTTTGCATGGACAAGACTTTTGTGCCAGTGTGTGGCTAGTTAATTTATCATATCCAGTATAAAAGTTTTCCCAAGCAATGGAGAATTACATATATGGCAATCTATGGACTTCTTCCATCTGGCAGTAAATGGGTATGCACTTGATTGTGCTGAATGAATAAACATAGCCACGTTGATCGAAATGAGTTGTGCCACATTTCCTGTACGTTAGCATAACCTTGCAACAGCGTTAACTCTTTCAGGGGTTTGATGGCAAAAAAATCATTTTCGAGTTGCATTCGAAATTTCTTTTCTTCATCGTGTTCTTCCTAGCCGTTCCACTAATTGAATTATTGTTGATTTGTCCTCGTTCCGAATATATGTTAACTATTTGTCACTCGACGCCAAACAAATCCGTTAATCAAACCCGCATATAAAATTCATCTTTTGCACCTCTAGATGCTAAAAAACTTTGCAGTAGAATATAAAATGTTTCTCATTTGTATTTCAAGGTGCATTCACGCTAAAATTGTTCATTTTTTTATGTCTCAACCCTTCATGGAAAGCTTGTATCAGTTCAGTGGACAACAGACTGAATAAATCAATAAGTTATATCACGTTTAAACATAATCTTTCAAAGAATGTGCGATGGATGCGCTGAAGGTTAGAAAAAGAATTGAATTCAAACTGTATTGAACAAAGACCACGAGCTAGTGTTTGTCATAGAATGTGGACATACTGTCCTAAATTAAGAAAATAGTTATAGGACACGGTGGTACTATCTGGATGCACAAACCGGAAAAGTACCCGAGATGTTGAGATATTGAAATATACGCGAAAAAAAGGTTAATTTCCACTTAACTTCTACAAAGTAAATTACCCTAACTAAAAAAAGAGCGTTTAAACAATCTCCGCAATTGTTTAGTCATGACACAGTCTTTCGAATCAACTTGTACTTTTCTGCTAAATGTAAAATGAAATTTAAAAAAAAAATGTCCAATTGAAAAACTTTGGGATTCATGTTTTTGATGCGTCCAAAGCGCTTTTCTGTATTTACCTTTATTAATATCCAAAGTTATGACACAACATACAATTGATTGGTTAAATGTGTCTTCTCAAAACTAAGGAATATAAGTATCAGTATGATCCCAGACAACATTGGTACGTTGGCACAACGTTGGCCCAACGTACCTACATGCATTGGCCCAGCGTTGTTTTTAAACGTTGGCCCAACGTGATGGCTAAACGTTGGCACAACGTTGTAAGGTTTTATACAATACATTGGCCCAACGTTGGTCCAATGATGGAATAATACTTGCCGATGTTGAACAAACGTTGGGCCAACGTAGTAATAAAAACTGTTTACAAACGTTGGCACTCCGTTGGTTCAATCTGTAAACTTTTCTATCCATATGAAGGATACTAAAATCCCTTCCAGACAACAAGTGCAATAAATCCTGGTTCTTACCTCAGTTCAAAATGGCGACAGTATTACATTTTTAAAATGTTGCAATTATTGCGTTTTACAGATCCACTATACCATGTTGTGTCTGACATACTACCCGAACATTTTGTATTTTACCACTTTCTCTCCATCTTCCTGAACATGCATGAAATATTTGCCAATGAACGTTTCAGTAACCAACAACCAATAAATCTCTCTCCAGGAATTGTACTTCTGAATTTTACCCATATTTCAACGAATTCAATCAACATATCCATGTTACCTATTTTTTCTTAAATAATGTAAATACAAAGGTATGATTAAACATAATTTATTATTAGCTAGACAACCAGCAAAGTTTAAAAAAAACTTGTTTGTATCTTTACGTTGCTAAATCAGATCTAGAATGATAATTCATTTAATATCCCATTTGTATAATATCATTACAGTTTATGTTGCAATATCCAAGCTCTGTATGAAGGCATTGATAATTCATTTTATACAGTTATTTTACTAGTTCTGTATTCCAACATGGTTTTTATTCGCAAGAGTATTCCTTTTGTTTTCTGCTACACTTTGTTTTGTCACTATTTCTGGCTTTGTCTTATGTTAAATCCTTTATCCAGTTTAGCATATCTTCATAAAAGTTATTTCACTGCCCCTGTAATAAAGTAATGAATAAATGAGTACTCAATGTATATATATTTAGAATATATTAAATTCTCCTAAAAAAATAAACAAAGAAGAAAACAAATACATTGTTTCCGGTGTTCTGGCACATTACAATAGTTAGAAAAAATACTCTTTTTTAAAATATTTTCCCTAGCCTATACAAGTCAAGGCAAAAGGCATATTCCATGCTTTACCATAATTGTTACACTTCACCTCGCTAGCTAGGTTAAGCAGGACAATTGAGTGTAGAAATGGATACAGGAAACTTTGGCAAAAACGTTCTAAGTAAATAAATAAAAGTAGTTGAAACAAAATACAAAGTCAGTCTAAATACACTAGCATTAATGGTAGTATTAAACATTTTATGCATATATATCTGTGAAATTCGAATCCGATGTAGAATAAAGGATTGCTATTATGTTAACTTACTTTCTTAAAGTTATTCATTCTGGGCTATCAAATGGTAGAATGCATTTTTTCCCATCTCCATTCCCATGCATTTTCTAGCCAGGATGTTGTCAATAGTTCCTATTATTCCTAGCTCTGTATTATTCCTTTTGCACTCTGATTATTTTGTCTTCTGTAGTTCTCAAATACCTGACCTATAAATTTATATTAAAATTTAAAATTGTATATTTAAAGGAAAAGCTACTTCAAGTAATTCGGACAATAATCTGTATAGTCTTTTTCTTTTATAAATATCCTTATGTATGGTAATGTCTTTTTTTTACACCCCCCCTTTTTTTTATTTTTTCAAGTGTCAGCTTTTTGTGACTGATATTTACTCCTACAAACTATTCAAATATCGGTTTTGTTTTGCAAAAGTTTTGCTGAGGACAAAAAACTAAATTCAGTCAAGTCTGTATATTTATATATAAATTACAACATTCTTGCAATGAATTTAATAAGATTAAGAAATAAGTACTCTATTTGATATCTAAAACACTGTTACACATGCAAGTGTGTATATGATCAGGTTTCACAAATATATCGTATATGTTTGCATGCGATTTAGAAATAATAAAACTAACAAATTCATTTATATTTCTATGAACCAAAAATGTAGAAATCATTATACCACATTTCAAAAACATTACGGAACAAGGTACATCTTAAGACAGATTTTCAATTAATAATGGTAATAAATGCAATCGTAATAGATTTCAGATATAAAATATTAAAATATTGGTAATTTACAATTTGTTTGGATGATACTAATGTTCAGTGGCAAATATTTCATGATTATTTAGGATTGAAATTATTTAAACAAAATCTAGAAAATATTTCGCCCAAAACGTATGAACTTCAAGATCAACATAATAACATTATAAAATGATAGAAATTATATGTTTTAATTTTGAACAACATCCCTCAGATTAAAAAAAAAAGCATATTGTTTTTGTCAATTCATAATCGTATATATTTCAGAATTTTTAAAGTTACAACTTACATGTTACTTTCTTTCTCTTTGAACCTCAGATGATATGATTTTTTCTTTTTCTTTTCTTCATTTCACTGCTTTCTTTCAAATACACAACAGGAAATAACCACAAAAGTGACCATCCTATTTCATTCAGATTTCCTATAAACTTAATTAACATAGCAACTATCTTTGAAATTTGTCTAACATATGGTCAACCTTATCAGAATGTGCTTGATTAACAGACTGGCTGTATCAAATATCATTCTGTATATAATTGCTAAATTATTATGTTTCACAAAGTTCAATGAAAAAAGTTATAATAAATAATTATTGCAATAAATTTACACTTTTAACCAGCCAATCTATGTTTACGATATACAATTTTTTATTACAGTAATGATATTCCAAAATAAATTTTACCTGGCTTATATACTAGTATAGAGTATAATACAAGGATGAACGTTGGCCCAGCATTTGCCCAACATAGAGTTGTAAATGTAATTTCAGTTGATGAACACTTTTGGTATAACATTAACTTTTTATAAAGCATGCAGCAATCGCAATTATCCGCCTCCCAAGAGAAATAAAGCGTAAAATATTACATAATCAATTTTTATTTACAAAATTTCATATCGGCCCTATGAACATAAAATATGCTACTAACATAATGCCAACGTTGGCCCGATTATTTATAACCAACATGAGATAATAATATGGATTTACAACAGCAGCCTGTCAGGTCAACGTTAGTCCAATGTTGTGCAGCCAACACCAATGTGCGACCAACGGACCGACAATTTGCCAACGTTGGTCCAATGTTGTGCAGCCAACATCAACGTGCGACCAACGGACTGACAATTTGCCAACGTTGAGCCAATGTTGTGCAGCTAACACCAACGGTCGACCAACGGACCGACAATTTGCCAACGTTGGCCCACTGTTAGTCTGTTGACTGGGATGGCCATAAAATCAGTAGGACATCTTCGTTTGCGAAGCAATAACATGAAGGTGTTAAGTTTGTTTATTTATTTTTACGATGTTATCTTAACATATAAAAGATCATAAACTTGAAATAGATATTTAACAAAATTTGATAACATAATACTTTTTATTTTTTTTTAAGTGGCCAAAGTTATGTTCACCACATGTATTGAAGAAGTGAAATCTATTTTGTTTTGAAACATTCTCTATTTTAAACTTACACAAATTTGAAAGATTTTATAGATGCATTTCGCCATCTTGCAGTTCAAAGATGAAAATAGAAACAGATATTTCACCAATTCGTTAATAGTCAAATTGAGTTAATGAGTTTTGAATTTTTCTCTGTACCGATGTAATGCATTGTCTGTATGGCAATCAAGATATATATAGTCATTAAACCAGACATGACAAAATTCAATATTTTAGGTGGGCAGAAGGTTCTTTTTTTTTTCTTATAAAATCAAATCCTTTATTAATTTTTTTTTACATAATTTGCATTTTTAGAACAGTGTTCAAAGATAAGAAAGATTTATGTTACGCACAATGAATGCGCATCTCGTATAATAAAAATTAATTGAAATTATTATATATGTCGTGTACATGTTATTATGTTGTGCAGGTTATTTCTTGTACAAAAACTTTGTACAAGTAATTACTTGTATAGTGCCATCATACAAGTTATTACTTGTACAAATATAATTGTACAAGTAATTACTTGTACAATTTTTGTGAAGAAAAAGATAGTAACTTGTACAAATCACTATCTTTTAGTTATATTTATTTAACAAAACAATCCAAGTAAAATGACAATGATACAATAAATTAACAATGGACTACTAACAGTTACCGACTGACATGCCAGCTCCAGACCTCAATTAGACTGATTGAAATATTATGTCTCCATCATATGAAAATCAAGCAAACTCCCTCCTGTTAAGGGTTTAGTATCATACCGTCATAAAATATATTAGAAGACATAACCCATGTCATGCCAACAACTGGTTTTGGAATGAAAGTGTTTATTTCCGATTCAAAGTCCCTATGAGTGAATCAATATTAATACCAACCTATGCTGCAGCAATTCTTAATGACCTGACAACAGTATCGTAACTATATCCCTTCTGAATAAGTCTGTTTAATGGTTTGGTTAGCTTTTGAGGTGAATGCCGACATTTTTGTGCTCTGTAAAGAATATTACCATAAAAGATTGGATGTGAAATACCTGAACGTATAAGATATCTGCTTGTTGAATTGTTGATTTATATTCCAGAATGATGTCCTTTTCGATGATAACATTTATTAAAAGTTTTGACTAGTTTGTGATATCGAAAACCCTGGTGTAATAATTTTTCAGTAATACAGAGATTTCTTTCGTTAAAATCAAATACGTTATTACATACACGGGCGAATCGAACAAGTTGGTATATATAAACACCATAAGATTGTGACAAGGGAACGTCACCATCTAAAATTGGACAACTAACAATAGGAAGTGAAAAATCATCTCGTTTATCATTCATTTTGGTATTAAGCTTCCCGTTAAAGATATAGATATCAAGATGCAGGAAAAGGCAGTTTTCGTTGTTTGTATTACATTGTAGCTTTATTTAAAGTCAGTTTGGCATGATATATCTCTTTAGTGTACATACTGAAGTCGTCATTATTGAGAGCCAATATATTAAGTGTTATTAAATTTTGAATTAGATGTTGTTTCGATGGGTCTTTGCTAACTTTAGTCAATGTTTGTTGTTACATTGTCGTCACTAGAAGCTTTTGTCAATGAACTTAAATCTTCTTCAGTTTCTATAGTGTCAAGTATTTTTTTTCGAAGGGCTGACGATGACAAGCCAACTTTAGGGTCACTTCCGAATAATGCTTTATACGGCGACTGATCAATCGTTCATGGTTTGACCTGGGGAAAAAGAATTAAAAACATGAAATAATTTCATACTACTTATGTCAGCGTTCGCCCTTTCGACGGACCCATGACTTTGAGGGTGATGTGGTCTACCATACACCAATTTAAGCTCTGGCCAAAGAAGTTTAAGTTCTGTAATTTCACTAGCTGTAAATTCCCTTCCATTATCACTTTGCAGGAGCTACAAAAGTTAAAAAAGATGTCGGAGAGTTGGTAAGCCACTTCAACTGCTCTTTTTTGTCTTTAAAGGGCACAGTGCACTGAATTTGGTCAAGTGATCCTGGTAGTGCATGATCCACTTATATTCTCCATCTGGATAGGATTGATAGTCAACAAGGTCTACTTGACAACAAAACTATAGTCTGTAAAAGTGTTAGGACGAACGACTAATTTGGTGGTTTCAGAGAGACTTTTTTTCAAAATACACTGTTCTTATATCTAAAGGAAAAGCCTGATAATTTCTCTGCTGATTTGGTAAATTGTTTTTTTTTTACTACTTACAATGTTAATGTTGTGGATGCCTCCATGACCAAATCCAGAATGTGCTGTTATAATCAAAGGGTATATTTCATCAACTGTACAATGATAGATAATTTCGTCTCCTTTGTGAATGAGTTTTTCAAATCCGGCTACATTCAAAACATCATACTGACTTAAGAAATATCTTTGAAGTGCTGACTTTTTGGAACAGAAATTGGCTTCCTTTACATTACTAATAATCTCACGTCTTTCGTGTGTGAATACTGAATTATTAGAAGATTTATTGTCATGCCATAAGTTAATTATTTCATCATGAAATTTCTTTTCTACACTGTTTTCATCTTTACACTTTAAAAATTCTTACATGTTGAATGTATATACCTTTAAGCTACGTAATGAATTATTTGTTTAAAGGGAAACGATTTGTTGTGAACATCAGATAGGGCAAGGTAGATTAATGATTTGTACAAATTATTATCTTTTTCTCAGAAAAAAATGTACTAGTAATTACTTGTACAATTGCATTTGTACAAGTAATAACTTGTATGATGGCTTCATACAAGTAATTACTTGTATAAAATATTTGTACAAGTAATAGCCTGTACAAAATGATAACATGTACACGACATATATAAACCGTAATAATCCTAATTTGATTCTAAGCTAAGATTACAAAGTATTATACTATTGGAATTAAATTTGGACATCGATCATCAAACATTCAAAAACCGTTGTGATCCGATATTTAATTATTTATGTACACAAAT